AGATTGAGGAAATTACAAGTTGGTCAGTCTAACATCCATACTGGGTACGTTGGTAGAATCCATCATTAAAGATAGAATTAGTAGGCACATGAACAAAAGGTATTGAGGAAGAATCAGCATGGATTCTGTAAGAGAAGATCTTGTCTCACTAATCATTTAGAGTTCTTTGAGGGGGGTGAGAAAACATTGGACAAGGGTGACCCAATAGATGTTTACCTAGACTTCTAGAAAGCTTTTGATAAAGTTCCTCATCAAAGGCTCCTAAGTAAACTCAGTAGTCATGGGATAGGAGGACAAGTTCTCTTGTGGATTAAAAATTGGTTAATTAACAGGAAACCAAGTGAGTATAAAATGGGCAGTTTTCACAGTGGAAGGTGGTAAGCAGTGGGGTATTGCAGGGCTCGGTACTAGGTCTGGTACTTTTTAACGTGCTCATTAATGATTTGGAGTTGGGAGTAAGCAGTGAAGTGGCTAAGTTTGCAGATGACACGAAGTTGTTCAGGGTGGTTGAGAACTAGGGAGGACTGTGAGGTGCTCCAGAGGGATCTGTTGAGGCTGGGTGAGTGGATGTCAATGTGGCAAATGAGGTTCAACGTGGCCAAGAGATCCAACATGGCTTCTCTTATGTTCTTATACCTGCCCCTCTCTCCCTCACTCCTTTCTGCCTTCATGGTCATCTGGGAGGCCTGCGTCTGAAGTGATCAGAGGGCTTGGCTCAGGAGAAGGAGGTGGTAGGATGCTGATGGTGCAAGAGTAGATCACACTGTCACAGACTGCAGGGGATTGATTCTGCCTTTTGGCGTTCTTTTGCATAAAGGAACAATCTGCCCACTCAGAGTACACAACAGGGTTAGGGGTTCTATCCACCTTCCTTGCTTGCTCTGACAGTTTTCCATTTGCAGGGAGTTCTTAACCTAGGCCAACATTCCCAGATGCCACCTTTCACCTGCAGTCTGAAGTGGTGCACTCTGTTCTACCATCTCACACCTTTCACCTCGTTCCCTTGCAAGTTGTTAAGTTGTACTTTCCTCTGAACCAAAAGCACCTCTTCCTCTGCTTGTGAATGAGAGGGTGTTCGATAGAAGCTTTCCGGTAGAAGGAGAGCAGAATCTGGCCTACTCTTGGCGCTAGGGTGCTGTGGCAAAGCCCCAATCTAGCCTGCAGAGCCACACCTCTGGGCTTGAACACTGCAGTCGCAAGAGCAGGCACTATAAGTCACAGTTTTTACCTCAAGGGTGTTACCTTGAAATAAGCTCTCCCTGGACAAATAAAGGATTCCAAGCCATTTATCTGAGTATTCTTGTCTATTATGGTTAAACATGTCAAAAACACAAGAGGAAATCCTGCCTGAGGTTTCTGTACTGGGGGCGGGGGCCGCACCTGTTCTTGTGGGCTTGTGAAGATGTTCTGACTGGTCCAAGGCTGCTTGAAAACGGAGGATATGACTTGAGGGAGGAGTGCTTCTCAAGGTAACTCTGGCTATATCCATTGTTGCGCCTAATCCCATGAATCACCCAGGTGTCATGACTGGCGGTGATGTGGCGTTGAGTCGTGTGCCCCCTTCTCCATAGCTGGAATTCTGGTCTACATGCTGCAAGCCAAAGCTTCCTTCTCAAGCCTGTGCCCAGGTTTCAGCTATGAGAGCTGTAGTGGTGGGGTTCCCTGAAGGGGCACTGTGGCAGACTGACGTGATTTCCTGCCAGAGAAGTCAACTGCGCTTTACCTCTGCTTCCCCCACTTCAGGTCAATGAGCTGAGCCAAGTCCCCCAGCCGGTGATGCTGCTCCCCGATGACTTCAAAGCCAGTTCCAAAGTGAAGGTGAACAATCATCTCTTCAACAGGTGAGAAGGGGCCAGGGTCTGAAGACGCAAGGCCTTGAGGCCCTCTGAAGTTTTTGCCCAGCCAAGCAGTTCTGCCCCAGCATCTTGGACAGGACTGTGTCTGGTTGACGTTAGAAGAGATGGGAATTAGATCCTGCCACCTTTAGTCACGCCGGGGATCTGGCTTCTCTTTCACACATGTGGCCTTGTGGTCCTTTTACCCTGTAATCTTCTTTCTGTGTATTTCCCAAGGCCTTTTGGATGTGCCTCCTTGCTTCCATCAAACACCCAGTGGGTGTCAAAATACTAGCAGCCCTGATGATGTTTGTTTGTTTCAGTCCTGCCTTTCCATCCTAGTTTGGATCCCCAGGGTGGGACAGGGGTGTCTAGTCAGTTGGTACACCGGTCATCCCCAGCATGGCATCCGTGGCAGCTTCCAGTGTGTTTCCTGGTGCCTACTGACTGCTTCCGCAGAGCAAAGGACTGTTCCTTGCTTTTCTGCATTTCTCTTGGGGTAGCCGGTGCTTCAGAAGAGCCTAGGAGTCATCATCTTTGTGTTGGCAAGAAACACTTCCCTTTGGAAACAGCTGCCTTCGTCACAGGAGGATGCTCGGCTTGGAACTTCTTACAATCTTGTGGAAACCTCCACTGTGTTGTGGTTGGATCCCCTGCCCCAGTGGCAGCCATTTTGTTGTGGCCCCCGCTATCTGCTCTCAACGTTTTAAAAGGCCATGCAGGTTCTATACGTTTGGGAGCCTTTATTTAATGCAGTAGTTGCGTTTTCTCCATCATTTCTGAGAACTGGAAATTTTTAAATGGTATGAAGAAATATATACACTTGACAAATAGACTCTTCATACTGGTGAAATATAATGGCAAGGAATAGCAGGGTAGTCCTGTCTTTGCATAACTGTGATCCTAGGCTGGAAAAAGCATGTGTGCTGTACACTTAGACAGTGCGCAGAACACAGTGAGTATTTAACTTTTTCAGAATTGTGTCTCTGGGGAAACTTCTTCCAGTTCAGGGCTTTGCTCAAAAATCAGGAAAATAAGAGCCTGCTAGATCAGGGTGTACCATCTAGTCCAGCATCCTTTTTCGCACAGTGGCCAACCAGTTGTCCTGAAGGACTAATTAACAGGACGTAGAGGCCAAGGCCTTCCCCTGATGCTACCTCCTAGCACTAATATTCTGATGGCTTTTTGCCTCTGTGTTTGAAGGTTTCCTTTACTCATGGTGTCTAGTAGCTCTTGCTGGATCTCTCCTCCAACAAACCTGACTTCTAAAGCCATGTGTGCTTGTGGCCATCGCTACCTGCACTAGCAGTGAATTCCATAATTTTACTCCTTGTTTGTTTTTTCTGCCTTGAACCTGTTTGCCCATCAACTTCATTGGGTGCCCCGAGTTCTAGTATTATGGGAGAAGGAGAGAAAGCTATCCGCTTTCTCCATCCCATGTGCAATTTCATAAAACTTAGTTGTCTTTCCCCTCCTAAATGGAACTGTCCCAGTTTCTTAATTCTTTACAGATAGGAAGGTTGCTCCAACCCCTTGGTTGCCCTCTTTTGATGAAGTTCCTGAGAATGGGGAGGGTGGCGTGACATACAGAAGGAGAACCTTCCTCTGATCACCTTGGTATTCATGTCCTGAGGGCACTGCACTAGATGTTCTGTGTTCTTTTCATTCATTCATTCATTCTATTAGATTTATAACCCGCTCTCCCGTAACTGGCTCAGAGTGGGTGACATCAATTTGTGAAACATACATCATTCTAAAACATTGAGAAATACAATAAATACACTAAAGTATTATAATAATTACAGTTACAATAAATACAATAAGATCCATAAAATACATGCACCACTATACAGCTAACAGATGGTGTAAAATCCTATGGAGGGGCAATATATAATCGTCTGACAGGGGAAGGGTAGGGGAGAGATGAGAAAGGAGGTCCTATCTGTATTGTGAGTGAGCTACATAGGGTGTGTACGTGACTTGTGGATGCTGGCATGGAAACTTTTGATCCCCAAGAAAGCTCTGTGCTTATAGCCCCAAGTTATTGACAGAGTTTGACAAATAACACATTTGGGGAAATCACACTGTCCAGCCACACACACACACCCCGGGCAGTGTTTCCTCTAAGCTGAGTTAGTGTGAGCTAGCTCATAGTTTTTTAGCCTCCGGCTCACACATTTTTGTCTTAGCTCAGGAAGGATGGCTCCAGAGCAAACTAATTTATGCAATAGCCAAATCGCTCACTCAGGACTGTACCACTTCAGAAAGGTGGTGGATAGCATCATTCAAACCCTTCTCTAAAAGCACATAGGAAGCTTCTCTCTGGGGGAAGGGACTTTTTTTGTTCCCTCCATCTCCAGATCTCTAATTATTAGCGGGAAGGGAAGCCTTTTCTCCCTGACTGATATTGTATCCAGGCACATACTGCTGGAGGATTACACCATGTGCTACAGGAGGCTAATGGGGAGAAGATTATGAGCCACAGATTACTGAGATAATGCTTACATTGACTGGGTAGCTATTACTTTGGTAAAGCCTTGTTTCCTTGTCGGCCTGGCTTTCTGATCCTGAAACAGTAAGGCCTTTGTATGTATGAGAGTGGCTTGTGGCAAGGCTGTAGTGGGGATGAGCCTGTCTCCTAAGCATGAGAAAACAAAGGCTGAATGGGATGGGCCTACGAGGAGAGAGTCCAATTTGTTTGTCCTTCACTTTTTCCACAGTGGGCACCCAAAGCAGTTGTTGAACATGGGTCTCCCCTCCTCCGTAACAGAGTGTTGAACGGGATGGGCTATTGGCCTGATCCAACATTGGCTTTTCTTATGTTCTTAACCTCACAATAACAACCCTGTGAGGCAGATTAGGCTATAAGCACAGACCTTTCTTGGAGATCAAAAGCTTTCATGCCAACATTCACAAGCAGGTTAGGCTGAGAGAAGGCGACTGGGTCCATGGTCTCCGTTCATCCATTCTACCCTCACAATAACAATCCTGTGAGGCAGGTTAGGCTGAGAGAAGGCGACTGGGTCCAGGGTCTCCGCTCATCCATTGTACCCTCACAATAACAACCCTGTGAGGCAGGCTAGGCTGAGAGAAGGCGACTGGGTCCATGGTCTCCGCTCATCCATTGTACCCTCACAATAACAATCCTGTGAGGCAGGTTACTCTGAGAGAAGGTGACTGGGCACATGGTCTCCCCTCACCCATTGTACCCTCACAATAACAACCCTTTAGGCTGAGAGAAGGCGACTGGGTCCATGGTCTCCGTTCATCTATTGTACCCTCACAATAACAATCCTGTGAGGCAGGTTAGGCTGAGAGAAGGCGACTGGGTCCATGGTCTCCGTTCATCCATTGTACCCTCACAATAACAATCCTGTGAGGCAGGTTAGGCTGAGAGAAGGTGACTGGGCCCATGGTCTCCATTCATCCATTGTACCCTCACAATAACAACCCTGTGAGGCAGGTTAGACTGAGAGAAGGTGACTGGGCCCATGGTCTCCACTCATCCATTGTACCCTCACAATAACAATCCTGTGAGGCAGGTTAGACTGAGAGAAGGTGACTGGGCCCATGGTCTCCACTCATCCATTGTACCCTCACAAGCAGGTTACTCTGAGAGAAGGTGACTGGGCACATGGTCTCCCCTCACCCATTGTACCCTCACAATAACAATCCTGTGAGGCAGGTTATGCTGAGAGAATGTGACTGGCTCCAAGGTCTCCGCTCATCCATTGTACCCTCACAATACCAATCCTGTGAGGCAGGGTAGGCTGAGAGAAAGAGTCTGGGTCCATGGTCTCCCCTCATCCATTGTACACTCAGAATAACAATCCTGTGAGGCAGGTTATGCTGAGAGAATGTGACTGGCTCCAAGGTCTCCGCTCATCCATTGTACCCTCACAATACCAATCCTGTGAGGCAGGGTAGGCTGAGAGAAAGAGTCTGGGTCCATGGTCTCCCCTCATCCATTGTACACTCAGAATAACAATCCTGTGAGGCAGGTTATGCTGAGAGAATGTGACTGGCTCCAAGGTCTCCGCTCATCCATTGTACCCTCACAATACCAATCCTGTGAGGCAGGGTAGGCTGAGAGAAAGAGTCTGGGTCCATGGTCTCCCCTCATCCATTGTACACTCAGAATAACAATCCTGTGAGGCAGGTTATGCTGAGAGAATGTGACTGGCTCCAAGGTCTCCGCTCATCCATTGTACCCTCACAATACCAATCCTGTGAGGCAGGGTAGGCTGAGAGAAAGAGTCTGGGTCCATGGTCTCCCCTCATCCATTGTACACTCAGAATAACAATCCTGTGAGGCAGGTTATGCTGAGAGAATGTGACTGGCTCCAAGGTCTCCGCTCATCCATTGTACCCTCACAATACCAATCCTGTGAGGCAGGGTAGGCTGAGAGAAAGAGTCTGGGTCCATGGTCTCCCCTCATCCATTGTACACTCAGAATAACAATCCTGTGAGGCAGGTTATGCTGAGAGAATGTGACTGGCTCCAAGGTCTCCGCTCATCCATTGTACCCTCACAATACCAATCCTGTGAGGCAGGGTAGGCTGAGAGAAAGAGTCTGGGTCCATGGTCTCCCCTCATCCATTGTACACTCAGAATAACAATCCTGTGAGGCAGGTTATGCTGAGAGAATGTGACTGGCTCCAAGGTCTCCGCTCATCCATTGTACCCTCACAATACCAATCCTGTGAGGCAGGGTAGGCTGAGAGAAAGAGTCTGGGTCCATGGTCTCCCCTCATCCATTGTACACTCAGAATAACAATCCTGTGAGGCAGGTTATGCTGAGAGAATGTGACTGGCTCCAAGGTCTCCGCTCATCCATTGTACCCTCACAATACCAATCCTGTGAGGCAGGGTAGGCTGAGAGAAAGAGTCTGGGTCCATGGTCTCCCCTCATCCATTGTACACTCAGAATAACAATCCTGTGAGGCAGGTTAGGCTGAGAGAAGGCGACTGGGTCCATGGTCTCCCCTCTTCCATTGTACCCTCACAATAACAACCCTGTGAGGCAAGTTAGGCTTAGAACCTTTGTTAGATCCACTAGTGTTTTTTTAGCTGCAGGGGATTTTTTGTTACATGGGAGCATTCAAAAATATCATTTGCTGTTCAGCTGGATGCAGTACAGTGCTTCTTAACTGCCTTGAAGCTCCTCATTCTTCCACCTTTGTAGATGGGGTTCTCCATGTAGCAGCTGCTTCTTTCTGTCTCTCCTGCAGGGAAAACTTGCCCAGCCATTTCAAGTTCAAGGAATACTGCCCGCAGGTCTTCCGCAATCTCCGGGAACGCTTCAACATCGATGACCAGGATTATCAGGTGAGCAGACGTCTCTCTGTTTTCAAACACCGAAGAGTCTAGTGTGGTAGTTCAGATACCCAGCGAGGCAATTGCCTGCTATTTTTCCTGCAAGTTTAGAGGTTTAAAACACAGTGCTGTTGGGCACTGCTGTTGTAGGACTTCCTGCTCAGAGATGCCTGCCAATCCAGTTCATGCCTTTCTTTTAGAGACACAGTTAAAAATGTTCTTGTTTCGGAAGGCCTTTTTCTGGTTTGAGAGAAGGATGAGGGGCAGGTGGGTGTTGTGTCTAATTTTGTGGATTGGTACTGCTGGGTTTGAGGGCTTGTGTGTGGGATGATTATTTTTAATGTATTTTTGGTGATGTATTTGCTGGCCTTACTGAAGTGTTTTGATTCCCACAAGTCACTCAAGAGAACCCTGGCTGGAAAGCAGAATAGAAATTCCCATAATAATACCGACCTTCAGAGGAGTGAATTTGGCAAGTTATAAATTGCTCTACCTGACTCATAGTAGCTAGGTGACTGGATTACTGTTAAGCTCAGCGGATGAATGTTTCAGGAAGCTGTCTTGAGAAAAGTTGATATAAGAGGCAGTCTGAGCTGGATTGCTTTCTTCCCTCAGGGTACTCAAAACAGTATATGTGGCGTTCTCTGGCAATTTCTCACCCAGGTAGTGGCCAGTGCAGGCTCTTGACTGGCCTTAGCTAAAGGTGTTGTATTTGTGTGCCATGTTCTGACACCTCAGTGGTTAAGAGACTGAGCCAGGTTTCCAGTTTGGCCAGGGATCCTGTAGGGTTTTTTGCCATCTTCTGAGCATGGAGCAGGGGTCACTGGGAGTATGGGGAGGAGGTATTTGTGAATTTCCTGCATTATGCAGGGGTTGAAATAGATGAGCCTGGAGGTCCCTTCCAACTCTATGGTTCTATGATTCTACACATCAGGAAGTTCCTGGTTCAAATATCGATCCTGGAATAATCTCACTAGATGGGTTTAAGCAAGCCCCCCCCCCAATATTGGGTTATATTCAACCAGCTCTTCCTCTGGTGAAAAAGAAAGAGAGGGGTCCATTTCAACCACCCCAAAAGGTGTGCCGGGGATCATGGGACCTGCATGGACAAAAAACACATGAGAGGGAGACTGTAGTATAAGAAAAGGCACAACAGTGAAGTACCTTACAGAGTTGTCGTAAGGATAGCAACAAATTGAATTCTGAAGTTTGTTGGTCTTATTTCAACAGTTGGGGGTCAATGGGCCCTCTAAGCTGTGGAGTCTTGTGAGCAAAAATTCTACTTTGTGGGCTACTGGCATTAAAGTTGTGAGTGAGCGATTTGGCTACTGCGTAAATTAATTTGCTCTGGAGCCATCCTTCCTGAGTTGAGACAAAAATGTGTGAGCTGGAGGCTAGAAAACTGTGAGCTAACTCGCACTAACTCAGCTTAGAGGGAACACTGCTTGGGGTTTAATACTACCAGTGCTTTAACTGATAATATTGTGGCTGTGAGGTGCAGCACCTGTTTTGCATGCAGACAGCCCCTTGTTTAGTCCCTGGCATCTCCAGTTAAAAAGGATCTTGGGTACCAGCTTGGTGGGGCTACCCCTTCTCTGCCTCGGGCCTCAGAGGGCTGCTGTCATTCAGGGTAGACCATACTGAGCCAGATGGACCAAGGGTCTCCCTTCATATGTTCAGACCCTAAGTTCTGTAAGATGTGAGAAGATAACCTTGGACAGAAAAATGTCTTACCCTTTCCTAAGAAGACTGGTTCCTGAGGCCCTTTGTCTGTACTGGTATCCACCTCAGTGGAGGCATCCATCTTGGTTGACCACGGATCCTTCGGTGTTCGGTTTCCAGCGGGCTAGGAGGAAAATGTCCTGCTGTTTTAATGGCTGGTTAATGTGTGAAAATGGGCAGTTGAAGCTTTTCATGGCATGGAGGCCAGTAAACATACCAATAATAATAATAATAATAATAATAATAATAATAATAATAATAATAATAATAATAATAATAATAATAATAATAATAATAATAATAATAATAATAATAATAATAATAATAATAATAATAATATGCTGTCAAGTTGTGACTGACTATGGTGACCCCTCAAAGGCCAACCCTGCTTAGATTCTAAGCTGCAATACTAACTCAGGCTGATAGTAGACGCCGAGGTGCAAAGCTGTTACCTTCCCACCAAAGTTGTACCTATTTATCTACTTGCAGTTTCTTGCTTTCGAACTGCTGGGTTGTCAGGAGCTGGGGCCAGAGATGGGAGTTCACTCCGTCATGCACTCAGGTCTCGAACTGCTGAACTACCGACCTTCCAGCCTGCAGTTCAGCATCTTAACCACTTGAGCCACCGCAGCTCCATGCTCGGGCTGTTAGCATTCCATTAAGCCACTACTAAAAGGACAGGGCAGGAGACTTTTCTCCAGGGCTATTCTGTATGGATCCCAAAGGACTATGGTACAGAAGGAAGCCCCACCGCTCAAGCTGTGAAGTCTTGTTGGGGAATCAGTCAAGCTGAATTCTAGGGGTGTGCTTGTTGCCTCATAACTGCTTGAAGCCAGCAGATGGTGTGACAGTGGAGGCATTCATGGAAGGAGAGTGCTGCTTGGCCTTTTCCTTGGATTCTTACTTCTTTATATGGCTAATTCAGAATTTGGGAAAGGGAAGAGCAATAAAGGTTTCTGGAAAGGAGATGGGAGAATGAAAAAGCCCCGCCAGCAGTCCACCTCTTCTTGAAAACATGACTTTCCTATAGTTCCCTATTTCTTCTTCAAGCTCCCGTAGATGGACTTACCTTGCAGGGGTGGCTGGTGAGAAGGAGCCTTCAGAAATCTGCCTACCCCTTTGGGCCCTTTCTTCCAGATGTTCCACTGTGCAGCCCCTGCTCTTAGCCTGGCTTCCTGCATTGTAGGCTGAAGGAACCAGGAGGGGATTCCTAAGTAACCAGCCCTCCCAGAGTTGGAGGGACAGTCTGTGGTGTGTTGCTACTTCATTTTCTTTTTTTGACCCTTCCAGGTTTCATTGACACGCAGCCCCCCTACCTACGAGACGGAGGGAGGCGGGGGGCGCTTCCTCATGTCTTACGATAAAACGTTGGTGATAAAGTTGATCTCCAGTGAAGACGTGGCTGACATGCACAGTCTCCTCTCACATTACCACCAGGTAAGGTTAGCTGGCAGGCCTGGCTCCTTCCACGGGCAGGTAATGTGTTCTGTGCTGGAAAGAGAATCCAAATTCTGCCGCAAGAAGAGCCTCATTCTGCAATCTGAATCAAATCTCGAAAGCTCCTACCCTGAAAATCTTTAAGGTGCTACTGGACTCGGATCTAGCTCTGATATTCACATAGATGCAAATGGGGAACCCACGAGAACTTACAGGGAACAGCTATTGTTTTCACTGTCTCCCCACCACCCCATGCACACACCCTTTTGCTCTGTTTTCCTGCCTTCTCCTGCCTTATTGTCAAGATGAAACTATTGAGATCTCAGCAGCCATTTAAGTTATCTAGGTAATCCAAAACAACTACCAAGGTCTCATGAGGTAGTCCCATGAGACCGTGGCACTTCTAAACTTATTCTCCCCACCCTTTTAAAATCTGAGGTTTTTTAAAAAAAATAATTACAAAGCACATCGAAATTCTAGACAGTGTGCTGCAATGGAAAACATGAGACCTGGCTCTCTAATTCTGTTCATGGCCAGTGGTCATAGACATGAAGAATACTTGCAGAGCTAGCTATAGAAATCACTTTTGAAATGACTGTTGTTGTTCAGTCACACAGTCGAGTCCGACTCTTTGCGACCCCATGGACAAGATCTCGCCAGGCCCTCCTGTTTTCCGCCGTCCTCTGAAGTTTGCTCAATTTCATGTTCGTTGCATCTATGATACTGTCTAACCATCTCATCCTTTGCCGTCCCCGTCTTCTTTGACCTTCAGTCTTTCCCAGCATCAGGGTCTTCTCCAGTAAGTGCTCCCTTCTCATTGGGTGGCCAAAGTATTTGAGCTTCAGTTTCATTATCTAGCCTTCCAGGGAACAGTCAGGGTTGATTTCTTTTAGGATTGACTGATTTGATCTTCTTGCAGTCCAAGGGACTCTCAAGAGTCTTTTCCAGCACCATAGTTCATAGTTCATAGGAATGACTGAGGCCATTAGAAATATTGACAATAGTACAATACCTTTTCCAGTACTTATCCACTGAAACGTATAAAAGATTAATCTTTTTTAAATTCTGAGGTGCTCAGTTATAGCATGTGGCCGATGGCTTTAGGTAAATGAAGAGTGAACTGAAACAAAAGTCGCACTCACTACCTTTATTAGGACCAACTAAAACACTGCGGTGTCACAAGAGAGCTTTTAAGGTCACCAGAATGTTAAACCAAAAAAATGAATAAATACAGAAGGGGATATGGGCATTTCAAAGAAGATCTTTCTGAGGTGCTCAGTTATAGCATGTGGCTGATGACAAGGTTTTAGGTAAATGAAGAGTGAACTGAAACAAAAGTCGCACTCACTACCTTTATTAGGACCAACTAAAATGCTGCGGTGTCACAAGAGAGCTTTTAAGGTCACCAGAATGTTAAACCAAAAAAATGAATAAATACAGAAGGGGATATGGGCATTTCAAAGAAGATCTGCAGCTAGCAATCAGATGGAGGGGTTAATGCAGGTCAGACGGTGGTGCAAGCAAAAATCTCCGGTTGCTGCCATGTGTGCTGGGAGTGAAGGAACGATGGCTCTCCTCTCTTTCATAATATTAAAGGCCAGCGGATGTTCAGATCTGCCCCATGCACTAAACTGAACATGCACATCCCTCGTAAGTTAGAGCACAGAGGTAAAGGGAGCCCTTGTAGCCCTCACATCAGAGGAGCTGGAGGTTAATTTTAGGTTCTTTCCTAGGCATAGAAAGAAGAAGATGACGACGAAGAGATTGTATTTATACCCCGCCCTTCACTACCCAAAGGTGTCTCAGAGCAGCTTATAAACTCCTTTCCCTTCCCCTCCCCCCACAACAGACACCCTGTGAAGTAGGTGGGGCTGAGAGAGCTCTTGACAGAAACAGCTCTTTTTCAAGAGCTTGCCCAAGGTCATCCAGCCAGGTGCAAGTGGAGGAGTGGGGAATCAAACCCGGTTCTCCCAGATTGGAGTCCGCGCACTTAACACTTACACCAAAGGGGGACCAAAAGTTTGTGGCCTCCCACTAGAGCAGGGGTGTCAAACATGCAGCCCACAAGCCGCATCTGGCCCTTGCAGGGCTCAAAACCGGCCCCCAAGCAACTTCCTTCTCCTGCTTCCTTTCCCAGGGCTGCTCTTGCAGCTGCACCCTAGTTTGCTTTCCCCCCCAGCTTTCTCAGTGGCTCTTTGTTTCCTGCCTCTTGCCTCCCTCCCTCCCTCTGTCTCTTTCTCACACACACACACAGTGATACAGAGAGCCTCATGGCTGCTTCATGCCAGAGAGATACAAAGACAAGCCTGCCTGCCTTCCCCCCCCCACCCCACACACACAGCTTCTGCTTTCTTATCTGGAGCGGCTCCTCCTCTTTTGGGGGGAAAGGGAGGAGGAAGAAAGAGAAAGAGAGAAAACAAAATTGGAGTCTCAGCTTTAAGACCAACAGCGTTTTATTCCAGATATAAGCTTTTGTGTGCAAGCATACTTCTTTGGTTATACTTTGGAGGGAAGGAGGGAGGGTGGGTAGATAGATCCTTCTGATAAGCATAGTGTACATTGAGGAAATTATTTTGGCTTATTCTGAACACTTTTTTTTTTAGTGATTGGATTTCTCTGTTCCTATCTGGATTTATTTTCTTTCAAAAAGACCCTGATTAGCAATTAGAACACTTGGATCTTGGAGAGTGGAGTGATTTCAGATGCCAAATGATAATAGCACACATTGGTAATGAGACAGAAAAACTAGGTCTCAATTCGTTCCAGGAGGATGTATTGTCTTGCGCTTCATTGTCAATTGCAATTCAGCACTCTCTCTTTCTAATCTCCCTCTGAAATTCCTTTGTAAGAGCACTGCTACTCTTAGGTCAGCAACTGAATATTGTAGTTTCTAATGTCAGACTTATGTCCAGGGGTCATTCCGGAGAAAAAAGAGGTGCAGGAGCTCATTAGCATAACTCATTTGCATATGCCACACCCCCTGACATCACCGGACGTGTGTCAGAAGGCAACACCCACCACTCAGGCTCCACTGGACTGTTTTGGATTGATAGCTAGTGGGGAGGGGGGGACGTGCAGATCTGTCCTCGCAGAGGAGGGAGAGCTTGTACCTGAATAAAGTAAAGGTAAAGGTTCCCTTGCTCGAAAGCCAGTCGAATCCGACTCTAGGGTTGCGGTGCTCATTTCCGTTTCCAAGCCGAAGAGCCAGCGCTGTCCGAAGACATTTCCGTGGTCATGTGGCCGGCATGACTAAACACCAAGGCGCCCGGAACGCTGTTACCTTCCCACCGAAGTGGTACCTATTTATCTACTTGCAATTTCTTGCTTTCAAACTGCTAGGTTGGCAGGAGCTGGAACTAGAGATGGGAGCTCACTCCATCATGTGGCACCCGGGTCTCGAACTGCTGAATTACTGACTGTCCACAGCCTGCAGTTCAGCGTCTTAACCACTTGAGCCACCGCAGCTCCATTAAGACCCACTAGACAAGCTTTAAAAAGCATTTGAAGTCATCTTGGTCTTAAAGGTGCCACTGGACTGTTTTGGACCTGGGGGTCGGGGGGAGCTCTGCAGCTTACCTGACTGCTTCTTGCTCTGACTGAGGGCTGCTGGGAGCAGGGGGTGGGGCTTGTTGCATGTGCCCGCCCCCTGGACTCTTTGCTGCCAGAGCTCTGCTCCTGTGCGCTCCTGCAGGAAATGACCCCTGCTTATGTCCATCCTCCTGGACTGAATCCTCCTGGATGGCATTGAGACCTAGGTTTCCTATCTCATTACCAGTGCTGATATCTTCACCCGTACTTCCCCTCTGCATATCACACCTAACACAATCATGCCTGCTATTGCCATTCAGCATCTGAAACCATCTTTATAAAGTTTATATCTCTGGTACCTTGTGTTACGTTTTATATCACGCCTGGCCCGGCCCAACAAAGTGACATTTATGTCAGATCCTGCCCTCATAACAAATGACTTTGACACCCCTGCACTAGAGGGTGTTTGAGCTCTTTGGAATCATCGCAAGTGGAGGTTCAAGTGCCATTTCACCAAAGGCGGACTTGGCGCTCATAAAAGGGAGCGATTTTGTGACTGAAATAATCCTCTGCAGCAGGAGTCCCCGGCCTTTTTGACCCTTTCGGGACCTTCTGAAATGTGACACAGTATGGTGGGCACAAGAACAAAACGGCTTCCACAGGACGGGGAGCCAACGGCAAAATGTCAGGGTGAGAGGTTAGGCATAACTCCAATAGTAACTCTTCAACCTTTCAGACGGAAGTTCTGTTTAACAGGATGCCTTTTGATCCAGACAGCCAGTCAGAAGCCCTGTTGGGCACGAGCCCCACCTGGCCCTGCCCACTTTGAAAACGCTTGGTGGGCACCAGGAAAGGTGTTGGCGGGCGCCAGGGACGCCCCCAGGCACCATGTTGAGGACATGTCCTCTTCAGCATAACTTTGCTTCGGAGGTTCCAGTTAGCCAAGAATTGTGGGGTAGTTTTTGTTTTTGCAAGCGCGGGGTGGCTGAGGGTAAGCTTGCAGATGAACGAATCGGACCTGGATAATGGAGTAAGAGGGAGTGTGTGGGAAAGAACCGTCATAACCAGAAGGGTTACAGCACTGAAGTCTCTCTGATCCTGGGCACCAGAAGCAGACTGTGCTTCTGGAATGCCCACATAAGTGCTGTCCACACATTTCTCTTTAGACCTTGGAATTTGGTTTCAAGTGATTCTGAAATTCTCAAAGAGTGCCACTTTTAGTATCCAAATCCCCCCACAAAGGGCTCAGGAGATCCTTCTAGAGGAGGGGTCCCCAACCTTCTTGAGCCTGTGGCACCTTTGGAATTTTGAGCAGGGGTGATGAGCGCCCCCCCCCCATAATGGCTTCCACAGGAAGTGGAGCTGAATGCAAAATGGCCGTCTCGGGAGGTGGAGCCAAATGGAATACTTCCCTCTTCACACCTCCTCACACCTCATAGGAAGAAGGATATTCTGAAGGGGAAATAGATATTTTGAAGGAGAAACAGAGCCACACACTGACTAAGGGAAAGCCCAGATGTTTACCAGTGCTCCTCTTCCTCCACTGGAAAACCCTTTGATTTGATCTGTCCTCTCCACGTTGCCGTCACCCTCTGGTCTTCTGCAGCTTTTTCTCCAGTGCATTTTCGGCTGTGCGAGCGGTTAGTCAATGGCCCTCCGTGTCTTCTTGTTCCAGTATATCGTGAAATGTCACGGGAGCACCCTCTTGCCCCAGTCCTCCAGTGGAAAACCCTTTCATCTGAACGAGGGCAGCCAATTGCAAGCCAAACCTTACAATGGCCCAGCCCACTTTCTGAAAAGTTTGGTGGATGCCAAGGGAAGTACTGGCAGGCACCATGGTGCTCATGGGCACCATGTTGGAGAACCCTGTTTTAGATGCTGTCTTTAGCTGATTTCCATCTAGCTCAAAAGCAGGAGCTTGTAGTCTGAAAAGTGGACCCTGACATAAAGACTCAGCTCCTGTTTCCAGATTTATCCTCTCCATAGTCCCGTCATCCTCTGGTCTCCTGCAACTTTTTCTCCAGTGCATTTTAGGCTGTGCGAGCGGTTAGTCAATGGCCCTCTGTGTCTTCTCGTTCCAGTATATCGTGAAATGTCACGGGAGCACCCTCTTGCCCCAGTTCCTGGGGATGTACCGGGTCAGTGTGGACAATGAAGAGAGCTACATGCTGGTCATGAGGAGCATGTTCAGCCACAGGCTGACTGTCCACCGGAAGTACGATCTGAAGGTAATGGGGCCGTTGGGGGTGTGCCTGGTGGTGGGGGTCCCATTTGTCGAGCTGTTGCATCTCCAGTCATCTCCGATCGAAAGCGGCGTGGGCTTTGGGAATCCCTGGCTTAGGTTTTTCAGTGCTTCACAGTGAGAGGCTGTATCAAGAACTGATCTGGCAGTCGGCGGTCAAGTGACAGCGTTGAGTTTTTACCTTTTTGGAGGCTTGGGCCGCGAGAGAAACAGCTGTAACACTGTTTAGTTTGTTTTAAAAGGCATTCTGTTAAACACAGCTTCTTCCTGAAATGCTGAAGAGCGATTGCTTAGTTATGCATTACCTCAGTTCGATATTTTGTGTTTGGCTCCACCCGCTGAGGCAGCCATTTTGCGGTTTGTACCCACCAGTCTGTGCCAAAATTCCAAAGGTACCCAAGGCACAAAAAAAACCCTGGGGACCCCTATTTAATGTGAAAGGATGGTATGAACACTAAACATGGATAATGAATCCCTCCTCCACACACACAGTGCTCACACAAAAAGCTAGCATGGCCAGGGAAACACTTCTGTGTTTTATAGATTCCCAGCCATACTCCATGGCCATGCCTGGCTTTCAGCACTCACCGATTTCTAGCTCGTCCCCTCCTGCCCTACCCCATTCTTTCAGTAAGATTTGGGGGAGAGGCTGGAGGTGGCAGAGCCAGGGTAGGGAGTATGAGAAAAGGGCCGGGCAGGCCTGCCAAAGTAGGTCTCCTCTCCTCTATCCTCACAACAGCCCTCTGAGGTAGGCGAGGCTGTGTGTGCATGTGACTGGCCCAAAGTCACCCAGCAGGTTTCCGTGGCAGACAGACCTTCGAACCCGGGTCTCCTGGATCCCAGTCTCACCTTTCTCTCTGGGTAGCCACCTCCTGTGTTTCCGTTCTCCTCTGTAAAATGTGAGTAATACCATGTAGAACAGCTGTGAGGACGAGAGCTAAAGGTTTTGATCCTATCCCTTTGGCCTCGGTGTACTTCTCTCCAAGCACTGAGGGGGCAGTCCTCCACTGCAGAGTTCACATCCTCTCACGCTAGGCACATCTTCTGTTTGCGCAGTTCCAGTGTTTTCCCTTGAGCCCAAAGTGCCCAGTGCAAGAGGACGTAAGCTCTGAGCCGGTGTTCTCCCTAAGCTCTGCCAGCCCCCAGCGCACAGATCCCCAGCTGAGCACAGGGCCAGAAAAATCCCGCCCCCGCCTCCAACCCGGGGTTGCTGCTATGCCGCAGCCCACCCTACCTGGCTTCCTCCATCACATGGGGGGGTGGGGGTGGGGGGGAGGAGAGAAGAAGCACAAAGCCAAGCCTCCCCGTCCCTCACTGGCCAAGGTCTCCTTCCCCACCCTGGGGAGGAAGGGAGGGGGAGCTGCCAGCCATTTAAAGCGAACAGCTGACAGGAGGGTCCACCGGTCAGCTCTCCACTCTAAACAGTGGGAAGCCATTTCAGCGGAGCGCTGAAACGGCTTCCCGCCATTCAGAGTGGACAGCCAGCCGGCGGGACCTGGCGGTCAGCTGTTCACTTTAAATGGCTGGCAACTCCCCCTCTTCCTTCCTAGGGGAGGAGATGTCGGCCAGTGGTGGTGGGGAGGCTTGGCTTTGTGCCTCTTCCCCCCCCCCCATGGAGGGAGCCAGGCAGGGCAGGTTGCGGCACAGTGGCAGCCCCGGGGAGGGAGGTGGGGGAGAGTTTCCTGTCCCTGTGCTCGGGAAACTTGCCCTTTAAAATGAACAGCTGATGGGGGGAGGCCTTCCTTCCTTCCTTCCTTCCTTCCTTCCTTCCTTCCTTCCTTCCTTCCTTCCTTCCTTCCATTTTTTTAAAAATATAGGCTCAGTGGGAAGGGCGGGATATAAATTGAATAAATAAATTAATCAACTTTAATCCTAATAGGTCTTTTGGCTCACAGAGCAGAATTTTGGCTCCCGAGCCTCCACAGCTTAGAGGGAACATCGGCTCTGACATGGATCACTGACCAACTGGCACCCAGAGATAATCATAGATGGAGCAAAATTATAGGATCCAAGCCCATAATGTTTTTGAAACACTTGCTATTAACTGTAGTTGGTTACTGTCCAGGGTGCTTTACCTCATGTAACCAAGTACCATCCTGCCCCCCCGCCCCGCGGGCTCTGTGTCAAATGACACCCATGGTTCGATACATGGCACGGAGCATAAGGTTCCTGCTTAAATGATCCTGGGTCGCAGGAATGGGAGAAGCATCTGCCTCGGGTTCCTATTAGTTGATGGGATGGGGCTAGTGAGGGTGGACCAATGAGACACTGGATAAAGTAGCTCTTTATCTCTCCGGAATCTCATGTGTCAAAATGCTTGAATTGCCTAAGCATACATACAAGACCAGTCCATGGGCTGTAAATAAAGTAAAGTAAACATGCAAGACCATACATTTATGCTCAGCATCACGTTTACTACCCAGTGCGCAGTCTCTAACACCATTTAGAATCCTGCGGCTCTCTCGCCCTGATCGACAGCCCCGAGCGCCAGCACCTGCTTCACGCACATGTCCTATTTTTAGGCCGCAGTGGGCAGTTTTCACTGATTCCCTTTTTCCTGCTGCAGACTCCTCTTATGACAGTTCTTAGGGTCTCCTATCCCCCCCCGGAGCAGTGTTTCGTGGAGATGAGTTGGAACAGGGAAATGGGAAATTTGAAAACTTAGTCTAGATCCAGCCTCGCGTAAGCTGCTGGCACCACCGTAAGTAGCAGAAAAGGCCAGGGATGGGTAAGCAAAGGGAAAAGGCAGAGGTTCATTGAGCCTCATACTGCCTGTATAGCCGTATCTTACTGAGGGTCAGCAGTTCAGCCACAGCTTCAGAAGAATGAGGAATATCCCCCCCCCTCTAACTGCCTCAAAGGGACTGCGCAAGAGTCAAATGCAGGACTGCATAAAGCAGCAGTGGGATATCTGTCCCGTGCAAAGAAAATTCTGAATTTCTGCCTCGACGGAATTCTGCGATCTGTATAAACTGTCATCGTGTTGCAGAACTGATTCAGTTTCTGCAAGCCATAAAGAGGAGCAGGGAGTTACATTGCACCACTGGAAATCCTGCTCTCTTACACGGGCAGGTATGCACTTGATCTTCTGAGAATTTTATCCCACATCCTTTCAGGCCTGTTGTCTTTGTAGCCACAGAGACTAGAAACCTGTGAGTGGGTGTGCGTGCGTTTAATAAAAGCCAAGGTTCTCAGGGTGCTGATTTCCGTGCCCTAAATCCTGTGCATGAAACCGTGGAGTCCCTGGAAAATAAGCAGCATTCCTGATGAGCCCGACTTGCCCACCTTTGCACGAGGCTTGCAAAGTAGTATTCTCAGCATGCGAAGAGATCGGTGGGGGTGGTTAGATATGGTTGGGTCCAAACTTGGCTCTAATCCTTTTGAAGGTGAAGGGAAGCCTGCGCTAGAAAGAGGGGGTGGCATCGACCCAGGGCAGATGCTTCACTGGACGAAAAAACACAGAACTGAAAAAGGCTTACACCGAAACAACCCATCTTTGTGCTTAACAGGGGCTGGGTTTACTGATCTTGCATTGTGGCCCTTTTAGGCATTGTCGGACGTCGGCGTCGCTTTCGGCTAAAACCGCTTTGAAAGCAAACTGAAAAGTGGCATAACTAATACCTTCATTCCTGTAGATTTGCCTGCCTGATCTGCCTTAAGGTTCCCCCTTTAAAGGTTCTCCCCATCCCATCTTTTCAAACCTGTGCTCAGAGCTCTCCTGTTCCGTGAAGCCTTTAGGTTTATCCCCTTAGCCTGCCTCTCCAGCTGAAGCAAAGCATTAAGTCTGTGAATCTGCATTCGCTTTTGTTTGTTCCTTGTGCAAATATGCCTTTCCCTCCCTCCGGCTCCCTCCCTACCCTTTTCTGGTATCTAAATTTAGATGTGGGCTCCTTGGAGCAAGGATGTCTCTTGCTTATGTTGTTCTCCGAAGCCCCGTAAACTCGGGTGGCACTTCAGAAATAATGAAGAATGAAATAACTAGCCCTATCTCCCAAGGCAGGAACCTTTTAGCCCCACCTTAGAGATTGCTTCTAAAGTCTGAGATGACTCTTTGGTCTATGCCAGGCATCCCGTTCCTTTTGAGCTTCTTCCAGCCATTGCTTTATCAAACCGATTAAAATGTATTTGGCTCAACTTACATCTCCTAAGAAAGGCACCCGGTTCTGCTTTGAATGCTGTACGCGGCTGAGGAGCCATTGCTCACTCCCTTGGTGATCTGGGCACTTCTGCCAGCCGGCTGAATGTTTGCTGTGGCTCGCTGATACAGCAGCCCTCCATGGGTGGTCGCTCTCTGGAAACGTTGCAGAAATCTTCACCGTACGCCGAACCGAGGCATCTTATCTCACTAGAATACTGACTCCTTTGTATAAATCGTGTGTCACTCTGCCAAACGATAAATACATAAATACCTTAACATAACTTGCAGCTCCCGACCCAGGACGAGTATTAACTAGCTTAGCACAACTAGCGAAAAGGGTCTTTGTGGCTCTTCCTGCTCATATATGAATTTTGCATGATTACTCTCTGCTTCCTGAATCTCACGATCCCTTGACCCTGCTGTTCATTTGGTTCTAAACCTTCTACATAAAATAGGGGCAAGGCGAGGGGCCGTGGCTCAGTGGAAGAGCCTCTGCTTTGCCTGCAGAAGGTCCCAGGTGTAATCTCCCGACATCTCCAGTTAAAAGGACCGGGCGGCAGGTGATGTGAGAGACCTCTGCCTGAGACCCTGAAGAGCCGCTGTCAGTCTGAGAAGACAATACTGGCCTTGATGGACTGATGTCCTAATTCAGCATAAGCAGCTTCATGCAGGAGGATTCACTGATAGTGTCTCTTACACTGGAGTCTTGGGGCTCCTTACACTATGTGGTTTATACAAATTTAGAGTCCAGTGGCACCTTTAAGACCAACAAGGGTCTCTGATGGACTGTACTTCCCGGTCCTGGCAAGTGCCGGGCAGTGTGTGGTGTGTATGCTCTCTCCCTTCCTTCTTGCTGTTGCAGTGAAAATGATTCCACTGTCCTCAGGGGGGGATTTGTTCAATACATGACTGATTCCAAATGCAAGGTCAGTTACTTGTTGTGTACCGGAAAACTTCAGCCTCTCGCAGATAGAAAAGCGGGATGGATCACGTCCGCCCCGGCTCTGCCGTCACCCACCGCTGCACCTCATTAAAGCTGACCCCAAAGCGAAATCTCCTGTGGCAAGGTTATATAGAGCTTTTTATAGTGGCGTTAACTAGGGCCTCGTTCGGAGCTGCCGGCATTTTAAGAGGGGTGTGGGTGGAGATTGAGCCACAGGAGAAATCCAGCTTTGTCTGGAGGACTGCAGCTGAGGTGCCTGTCACAAAGAGGGTGCATTCAGCTTAGGTGTGGTTGTAATCAGTTCTGCAGGCGATGGACATGCGGCACGTATTGGGCTTGCAATAGTGCTTTATTCTGAAATTAATACGGTCCAAGGAAAGGACGTCACTGAGGTTTCAAATGGGGGTGGGGACAGAAAGTGTGCTATATGCGTGACTGTGGGAAACCGGGCAATTTGGGTTTCTGTGTTGTACCTCCTCGTTTTGAGTCTTGTGTCAACAACAGTTTTAAAACTATCCATACCGGCACAAGGACTAGATTATTATTTTTGTAAATACAAATTGTGTTCCTGTAAAAGGCACCTACATTTTCAAACCTATCCATACAAGAACAAGGACTAGATTATTATTTCTGTTAAATACAAATTGTGTTCCTGTAAAAGACACCCGTCTTGAGAGGTGTCTCCATGCCTCTCTTAGAGTACTGCAGGTCCCCTTGAATGGAGCACTCTTCCTTTCTGCAGCCACAAGACGGTACCTGAGGTCAGTGATCCCCCATTAAGGGCACCAAGGCACCTGCCAGTATTTCCTGGTGCCCCCTTTCTTTTTGCCCAAAGCAAAGAGCTGTTCATGTATTGGATGAATTCCCCAGGGGTAGCGGAACCATTTCATTATAGCCACAAGAAGACAGGTGGGGGGAGAGTGGGTGTGTGTCTATAAACCACACACTGAGTAACAGTCGCTGGGACAGGAAAGTACAGGCCATCAGACTGTATAAACAACCGACTTTCTTCCCTCATTGGAGGAGAAGTTGCTTCAGAAGAGCTCAAAGTTATCACTTTTGATTTTGCTGGGGGGGCCGGGCGGGTGTATCAATTTACAGATGGCTGCATCTGTTATAGAACGCTTGATCTGAAACTTCCTAACCTTTTGCCATTGGCCCCAACCCCCATGGTGGCCATTTTGCGGTGGTGCCCGCTGCCTGTTTTGAAATGAGCACCTGGATTTAAGTCCACAAGTCACAAGATTTTATGGTCCCGATGCTCAGATTCTACCGTCAGATAGCTTGTGGCGGGCTAGTTAAAAGCGCTGCCCTGCAATCACTGCTTAGTGGGCGAAAGAAAGGGGCACAGGGCAAGGAGCGAGGGTGGAAGTTAAGAGAAGCAGACTTTCCAGATGAGATGAGGTGGCCGAGGAAAGTCTTTGGAGGGGATGACTTGAGAGAGAGAGAGAGAAGGCGAGGCGTGAGGAGCATCATGGGAGAAGGCGGGGGTGGGAGAAACATACCAAAAGGGCCAATAGCAGATGGGCCAGGAGCTGACGAACTGCTGTTGACAGGTGCTCTCCACGCTGAGGCCATCCCCCTATCAAATCTGCTTTATGGTGAGAAACCTTTTCTTAAAAGGAGAAGCCACAAAGCTGGTGTCCAATGCCTGTAGTTTGAGAAGGGCTGCTCAAAACACTCAAGCGGTGTGGGCTTGAGGGCTCTCCTTCCCAACCAGACAGCTAAAGTCCTTGGTAAACAAACCACTGCTAGGGACTTAGTGGGACAAGCTTGGTTTTGGCTACATCACGAACTCCTCGGGTAGCCAAGTCATACTCCCTCAACTCCTCTCCCCCCCCTTATGTGAAATCAGGGGGAGGGAATAGTTGCATCCTTTTATCGGTGGAGCGAAAAAGACTGCCATTCATTTGCACGGAAAAGTATCGCACACAGAGTGCTTCTTTTCGGAAGTATGTTACACCCCTTTGATTTCAAACGTTGGCTTGGATCCCCTGGAGTGCTTCCACTGGCAGAAAGTAGCCAAGTCATACTCCCTCAACTCCTCCCCCCCCCATGTTGCATCCTTTTATCGGTGGAACGAAAAAGACTGCCATTCGCCCTGGCTGCTGTTCCAGGGGCGCAGGGAGGCTGTCTCCCAGCAGCAGAATTTAGGGGGGAGCTTTGGGCCGTGGTGGAAAGAGGAAGGTGAGCAAATCGTACTTTGCGAATGGGAAAAGGCTCCTGGGAATCCAAGCCTGTGCCTGGAGCCTCTCTGGAAGAGAGAGGAGCAGAAGTTCCCGTAAAGGCGCTCAGCAGAGACGGTGTGTTCTGCCGCCTGGTGCACGCTGCCTTTCCCAGAGGCAGGTTTTATGACTGGAAATCACGATCGGCTTGCTGACAGGAACCACGTTATCCGAATTGTTTCTGTTGTCTTTGTCTGACCAAGGCAAGGTTTTTAATGTTTAAAACTGCATAGTTCTGCTGCTGTGCAGTTCAGCATGAGCAGCAGAATGTGCTATCGCTAGTTTGATATGTTTCGTGTGATATATTTTAATGGTACATTTTGATGATCTTTTATGTATCACCCCCCACTGGTTTTTGTGGTGACCTTTGGCTTTTGACAAACTGAGCCAGATGTAAGGCGAGCACCGTAGTTGTTCGGCTTCCCCCGATAAGGTCTTCTGTTTCGGCTTGTGTATTCAGTCCTACACCTCCTTGCACCTAATCCTTGTGTTTCTGCTTTTTCTTTTAGGGGTCTTTGGTATCCCGTGAAGCGAGTGATAAAGAGAAGGTAATGGTCCCTCATAGCTGGCTGCTGAGGGGTGTGTGTGTGAGGGTCTTGTCACCCCTGTGCTGTTGATTTATGTTGGTCCTGGGAGACTGAACCGGCATAATCCCCGCTGAACAGCTTCAATCCAAACACCTAGACTGAAGGGGAATGTTGCAGGAGGAAGCTGCAAGGTATTTTTATGTACTTCCGTTATACCCCACCTTTCTTTCCTATGGAGGACCCAAAGTGGCTTATATCATTCTCCTCTCCTCCATTTTATCCTCACAACAACCCTGTGAGGTAGGTTAGCTTGAGAGTGTGTGACTAGCCCAGCAGAATTCCATGGTGGAGTGAGGACTTGAACCTGGGGCTCCCGGATCCTAGTCCAGGGGTCCCCAACCTTTTTGAGCCTGCAGGCGCATTTGGAACTCTAACACAGCATGGTAGGTGCAGCGGCAAAATGGCTGCCGCAGGAGGCGGAGCCAGCCACAAAATGGCTGCCACAGCTTACCTTCAGTCACACAGTGAAGATCCTTTTGCTGTGATGGCAGAGGATGCCAAAGCAATATTTTTTTAGAAAAATCTGTACAGCCAATCACAAGCCTTGCTGGACAAAAGCTCTACCTGGCCCCACCCACTTCCTAAAAACACTTGTCGGGTACCAGAAAAGGTGTTGGCAGATCACCGTGGTGCTCACTGGTTCCACTCTGGGACCCCTGTCCGACTCTGACCCTTTAACCAGTACACCACACAGGGTCTCTAGTAGAAGTAAACCCAGCGAGGCACAGTCACAGAATTCACAGAATTTGGGCCTCTGTTGATGCCAAATTACCGGGTGACAGAACTGGAGGCCAAGGGAGGCTAAAGCTGAAGTAACGATGGGCCGCCAACACAAAAGGGGATTTGACTGAGTTGCAGAAGTCATATCAGTGGAGGGAAGCCTCCATGCTCAGAGGCAGCAAACCTCTGAATACCTGTGCTAGGAGGAAGCAACATTAGGAGAAGGCCTTGGTCTTGATTCCCTATTTGCTGGCCCTGCGTGGGAGCTGTGTAGCTGCTGTGAGAGACTGGATTGCTGGACTTGGTTGGACCATCAGTCTGTCCCAGCAAGCCCGCTCTTATGTTCTTTCCCCCACCCCTTCCTGCCTTTGTCTTCTGTCAACCAGTTTGGTGTAGTGGTTAAGTGTGCGGACTCTAATCTGGGAGAACCGGGTTTGATCCCGCACTCCTCCACATGCAGCTGCCGGTGTGACCTTGGGTCAGTGACAAGTTCTTTCAGAGCTGTTCTCTCACAAGCAGTTCTCGAAAGAGCTCCTCAGTCCCACCTACCTCGCAGGTTGTCTGTTGTGGGGAGGGGAAGGGAAAGGAGATTGTAAGCCGCTTTGAGACTCCTTCAGGTAGAGAAGGGCGGGGTATAAATCCAATCTACTCCTCCTCTTCTTCATTTTCCTCTTCCTCCTCCTTCTCCTTCTTCCATATCTCAGAATGATTTCTACAAAGCCTTCTCTTTATTCCCTCCCCACCCTGCTTTACATAATACCATAACTAAATTTTAACACTAAATGACTTTCGCTTTCCATTGTATGTCACCTTCATTTCCCCCTCTTCTCTGCTTTCATCTCCCTCATCATAATTTAACGGGCTGCTTTCCAGTGTCGCCGGCTCCTCCAAATAGGATCTCTCTCCCCTGTAGTGCTCCGTCAGCAGGAGTTCCGATTTTAACTAGAACACTCTCTTTCTCAGTCGGAGTCAACCATACCAGCAGATTTACAACATACACTTAAAATAATTTCAACCCCGTTTTGAACATAGTGTGTCGCTTCTTACTTTTTTAAAAAAATGGAAGGTAGAGTTCTTTTTATTTCCCCCGATGGTATTTTTTTGGGGGGGAGGGGGGCACTTCAGGCTATGATAGGATAGGGGTTTTAGGCCAAGCCTTTTGTGTGTTCTGCAGTTCCATCAAAGCACACAACAGCTACTCTGGAGCATTGTTCCCTCTAAGCAGTGGAGTCTTGTGAGCAAAAATTCTCCTTTGTGAGCTACTGACATTAAAGTTGTGAGCAAGCAATTTGGCTACTGTATAAATTAGTTTGCTTTGGAGCCATCCTTCCTGAGCTAAGACAAAAATGTGTGAGCCGGGGGCTAAAAAACTTTGAGCTAGCTCACACTAACTCAGCTTAGAGGGAACACTGCTCTGGAGCGATAGCCACATGAGTCAGCGGCCTACAATGAGGAGGGGAAAAGGGGTGAAAATGTACTTCCTGCCTCTTCCATCAGTGGAGCTGTGCTGGTGGGAGAAGGGAGTGATTTCAGCCCCTTAAGAACATAAACCTGCCGGATCAGACCGGTAGTCCGTCTAGTCCAGCATCCTGTCTCACACAGTGGCCAACCAGTTCTCCCAGAGGGCCAACAACAGGGCATAGAGGCTGAGGCCTTCCCCTGATGTAGCCTTCCAGCACTGGGATTCAGAGGCTGACTGGCTCTGAATGGGGGTTTCC